TTCTTGCACAATCTAAGTGTTTTCTAGGGGCGGAAATTACTTATTTCCACCTAAAAATCCAAATGGATGGTTGGATACTATGTTCTGCTCAAAAGAACCCTATTGAAGTTAATATATATGCTTAACTTTAGGCCAATCAATTTTAGTAGGTTTACTGAACTTGGTCGGCTTGGATAATATTTAGAGCAGCTCTAATAGTGAGAATTTGGACATATTTTTGAAAGTCACTTGGCTCTTCTTTCTGGGTTGCACAGGGCTTCCTGAAAAAACGCTCTACACAGGAAGCTGACGTTTTGCGCCATCTGTACACAACGTCTTTCCCAGACCTCTACCGGTATAGCATCCAGTCCTTAGAATACAAGATAGAGATGCTGGAAGCCTTTGTGATAATGCAGAGCATTAATATGTTGCAGGGCTTGATCCCTTACAAGGTAAACCATTCCAGGCTTTTGAAAAACAATTTTTGGAAAAGACCCTTGTTATAAGCATGGTTGAGGTTTTTTTTTTTTTTTTTTAAAAAAAAGATATTTATTGAGATTTTCAAAATGTTACAAAGAAGAAAAAAAATAAAATAGAAGCAGAAGAGAGTACAAAGAATAAAAATAATTGACAAAATAGAAAAAAACAGAAAAAAACCCAACCCCTTCCCACCATATAAGAAAAAATTCCAAATGAGAAAAAATGACAGAAAAAAAGAAAAAAAGAAGAATGCAAAAATCACAAAACTTTAAAAACATTTAAAAACAAATTCATTATTTTCAAATCCTTAGCTGTCATTACCTTCTTTCTTAGACCTCCTCCTCCTCCCTTTCTTTGTATCCTAGTTATTAATTATCCCAGCAAATCCTTGACCTTATCTTCCTATAATAAAATAAACCTTAAACCTTAAAACTTAAATCTTATCCTTACCAACTTCTCATAATCATAATATTCTTTCATAATTCTTTAAACATCTTTGCTAAAGCCAAGTAATTTCATTCCAACATTTTTCTATCATTCATCAATTTTATAAAACAGTTCTAATGGTAGAAAAAAGAGGTATAAACAGATCCAATCTTCATCCAGCATCCCTTCCTCCTGGTTCCGGGTTTTGTCAGTCCTTATTCCCGTCAATCTAGCCCATTAACCTGGCAACCTTATGTCCGAGGCCCTCAAGTCTCTTCCATGACCCTTCCGCGGCTCTTCTTCATATTTGTAACTGTATTTTCCCTTGTCTCCTGCTCGTGGTAACTCCAGCTTGACAATGTTTTTAACCCTTCTCAACAGATCAGCCCCTTTTCCATGTTCAACAATGAATTCCATGCAGTATTTAAAAGCATGTTTCAAAGGCCCTCCAAAACTGAGAGCCCCCACAGTCCCAAACATCTCACGGCCCGTTGCCATATTTGAAAAGTCCAAACATCCCAGCATAGGGGGATCAATCCAGCCCCCCATTTCCAAACCAAGCCAAACTTTTCCTTTCCAGATATGGCTTTTTCCAGGTTCATTTGTCAAATCCAAAAAATCATATTCCTGTTGGGCCTGTTCTGTCAAAACACACTCCTGATTTAATGTCAAAAACTCCTGTTCTGTCAAGACACACTCCTGATTTAAATCCTGAGTGGGCTCCACATATTTTCCCACTGTCTGTTCAAAGTTTCCCACTGCCTGTTCAAAGTTTCCCACTGCCTGTTCAAAATTTCTAGTCGAAGTCACCACCCAATTCACCTTCTCGTGTAATTGTTCCAGTAGATCGTTTGTTTTATAGAGAGCATACAACAAGGCTTCTGAATACATTGTCCTACAAGGTCAGATACTTGTTCCCACGGTTGTAATCTGTAACAGCTGTCGTCTCCCTGGAGTTAGTTACAGTTTCACAGTTACAATTTCACAGACTCCCCCTAGGGGGAAAACTTCTATTTATTCTTGCAACAAAGTTTCCTTTTTTAAGATACTTTGTCCATATATAATCCTTTAAAATGCGAAAGGGAACAGTGGAATCACTAGGTTTCTCTTCTTTTAGCCATCTGTCAAAAACACTTGTCTTTGGTTAATGAACTTCACACGTCAGTCCTGACAGCCCGCTCCAGGATCAGGTCAGGACGGAGGAAAGTTACTTCACTTTAAAGTCACTTTAAACAGTCCAAAAAGATCCCCCCCTTCTCCTGCTGTCGAAGGGGGGTTCCACAATTTTAAATGGTGAAATCCAATCTTTTAAAAGCGATTTTCTGAGCTCTAGTTTAAATTGCCTTTGCTTTATTCTGTTTACAAAAGAACGGAAGGATGACTTCCTGTTTAGACCTTCCCGTTCCGTACCAAATTCAAGTAAATTTTTAAAGTCCGATTCTTTCCTGCTCGCAAGTCCTTATTTGATGTCCAATTGTTCAAAGTCTAAGTACTCATGGGTGCTTATTTTAAAGTCCAAATTGTCCCAGGAAAAAGGCAGCGCTCTCCGGCAACAGCTATGCGGCTTCGCTCCACGGAAATAGCAGTTGACTCACAGCACCGCGCCACTTCCCCCTCTTCACTTCGGAGCCCGTTAGTGGGTTCCTTAGCGGGTTGGGGGGGGCGCTAAAGGTGCCCGCCGAGTCCCATGGTCACAGGCTTCATCCGCCTGTGATTTTTAAGTGGGCCCCCGCTTCGCCGTAGCAGAGAAGACCCGTTTTCCGCGGAGCTAGTCCCTCCAGTTCAGAGGGAGTCCGCCATTGCCGGTGGCGCCACCCCGGAAGTCTAAGCATGGTTGAGGTTTTGTCTGTATCCGGGTGTGCAAAGTCAAATGAGCAAATACTTTAGCGCCCTTCATTTGAATACCAATATTCTAAATGAATACGTTATATCGGGCATAGTTGCATAGCACACATTAAATATTATTAATCCCTCAATAAGAATACATAATGCCTTTTGAAGTGCTTTGTATAATACAAAATTCTCCTTCCTTAAATAACAGCAAAGAAGTACACCTGCTGGCAAGCTTTTCTATTAGTATATACGCTGGTCTGTGACCGTAATAAAGTACTTGAACTTGAACTATTAGTATAAATCAACTTCTGCTGGAATAAATGCAACACTGAAGGGTCTGTGTCTATTCATATACAAACTTCTGATTCTGTATATAATATCGAGGAAATACATGCCCCAACATTCCAAATATGCAATCCACCTTGCGCTAACATGTTATTATCAAGAAATGCGCAACCATCTTTTCCTACTCATGCATCAATGGGTTTTTGAAACACAATATAGTTGAGTCACAAGGGAGGCCGACCAAAGTCTGATTATATACAAAGGCAGGCAAAAACAGGACCTTGGACAGCTCCAACAGTGCTCTGCTGGCTGAAAGTAGCTGGATAAGTTGTTGTCTCTGCAGGGAGCTAGGCAGCCAACTGAAACCTTAAGTAGACTGACAAGACCGGGAGTGTGATGAGCTCCTCTTCTGTGGAGGAGGTGGCTGGGTTGTGAAAGGGCCCTCTCCTTATTTGACCTATGAGGCTAAAGAGATAGAAGGACTGCAGGAGACTCATCCTTTGAGTCAGAGGACAGTGGTCTATCTGTGTCCTCTGGCTGTACCCAAATAAGGTATTGTCAACACTCCTCAGGGAAGTTCCCAAGTCTATGACATAAAGTATAATGCTGTCATGTGAACGCCACTAACAATCATTTTCTAATTCATATTGCATCTATTAATGGTTGGTTCATATCTTTCCCCCATAAACTTTAAAAAGGGTCTCCAGTTTTTGATAAAATCTTCTATCCTTCTCCCCCTCTCTATCTCTTATAGGTAAATACTCTGTTAAGCTAACCTTTCCAGCTGGTTCCCACAATTTCATTAGCTAAGCTAAGGATTATTGTAATAACCTGCAGTTCTATAATAGTATATATTTAAAGTAGATGAATAAATGAGCAAATTAAGTTAATTTGGATATGCAGAAAATATTAAAAAATAAATTGAAGGAACCGCAGAAAGAGGGGGAAGGAAGACAAGTTTTGAAATATTAAATTGATTGTAAAATTATTGGAAAGTATAAAATTGAAAATCATAAATAAAATAATAATAATATTTTTTTCATTAGCTAAGCTTTCATAGTAGGTGCACAATAATTTTACCATTTAGTCACTAAAGGCAATGGTGCTTTGCTGTTTAGGAACAGGGTGGGGAAATAACAGCAGAGTACCTGGAAAGATTGTATATCTTCTCCTTAATGTGGAGCGTTGGGGCACTGCTGGAACTGGAAGACCGTTGCAAAATGGAGCACTGGCTTCGGAATCACGAAACTATAAAACTTGACCTCCCCAACATCCCGGAAGGAAGTGAAGACACTATGTTTGACTACTATGTTACCAATGACGGTTAGTGAACTTCTGAGAAGTTACTATGTAGGCCTCATTATTAGCTTCAAAAGGTTTAGTATGAATAAGTTATGAAGCCTTTGGGTTATGAAGTTTGCTGGATGTAACATCCAGTGATCAGAGACCTCCAGCTGAAGATCATTCAGATTTGAAAAACCTGTGTTGTTTATACTTGGTCTTCTCCAGTCGTCACCCTGTCAATTCTTAGACACTTTGTTGGGACGAGAAGGCAGTGGGTTGCTGTGGAAGTAATCCATAATTTAGCTTTATAAGGATGAACACTTCCACCTTGTTCCCTCCCCATGTTCAGCTTGCTGTGCTGTTCAAACCCAGAAAACGGCTACTGATTTTGAATATAGTTAGTAGAAACAGGCCAAACCATAGTTCATCAAGCTGCCTTGTTTCAACAAACCATAGTTAAGATCAATCACTGATTCAGATGACATGCTAAACTGAAGTTAATCTAAAATGGAGGTGGAAATTTCTGAAATCCTTGTGGCTGCTCTGTAGGAAAGTGGAGGGGGAATTATGCAAGACTGATATTCTGTGTTTGTGTGTGTGTGTGTGTGTGTATGTATGTGTATGTGTGTGTGTGTGTGTGTGTGTGTGTGTATATGTATATGTATATACATATACATATGTATATGTATATACATCCAGTAGCACCTTAGAGACCAACTAAGTTTGTTCTTGGCATGAGCTTTTGTGTGCATGCACACTTCTTCAGTTACACAAGTGGTATATCTGAAGAAGTGTGCATGCACACGAAAGCTCATACCAAGAACAAACTTAGTTGGTCTCTAAGGTGCTGGTGGACAATTTTTATTTTTATTTTTTTATATATTTCTACTGCATCAGACCAACACGGCTACCTACCTGAATCTGATATTCTGTGTGTTTTGCCCTCATAATACAAATCTATGTTTAGTGTTACATAAGAAATGGGCCAGTCATATGCTTTTGCCAAGTTGTGCCGTGCCATGACCCTCATGGGTCATGAATGTCCACGACACCTAATGGCTTCATGACTTAGTTCTGTTTTAAATTGGACGTAATGAGGATTAGAGGTTTCAGTTGCATCTCTGCTTTTGTAGAATTCAGATCTGGAAAGCTGCCAAAAATGTCTCTCAGACTAGTTCTCCTTGACTACCTTCTTATGGGCTAATACATACACATATGTTTAAATACAAAGCATGTTTCAAGGGGAATTCACTGCTTTTCCTTTGGACTAGGCAAATGGATGCACTGGAATACCTGCATTGATGAGTATGTATATCCCACCAACAGCACGCCAGAGTATGGCTCCATCCTGGTGCCAAATGTTGACAATGTGAGAACGGACTTCCTTATGCATACTATTGCAAAGCAAGGCAAGGTAATTATCTGATGTTTCACACAGGGATTTCAGTAATTCCACCTGGTGGAGGGATGATCAAGAGGGCTGGGGATTTTTACTTTGTAACTGACATTGCTGTATGCAGTTTTATCGAACTCCTCCAATTCTTCAAAGTCCTTTACAACGGTTACTTCTTTGGGGTAGGTTTATGAGTCGGGCTAAGCTGAAGAATAGTGACATGTTCACAGCCACAGCTCTATGGCTCAATAAGGATTTGAATGTGGGTCTTTTGCATCCATATCCAGCACTAGCTATTTCATTGTGCCTACAAAAGATCTAGACAGCATCTTAAAAAGCAGAGACATCACCTTGCCAACAAAGGTCTGTATAGTTAAAGCCATGGTTTTCCCAGTAGTGATAGAGACATCACCTTGCCAACAAAGGTCTGTATAGTTAAAGCCATGGTTTTCCCAGTAGTGATAGAGACATCACCTTGCCAACAAAGGTCTGTATAGTTAAAGCCATGGTTTTCCCAGTAGTGATGTATGGAAGTGAGAGCTGGACCATAAAGAAGACTGATCGCCAAAGAATTGATGCTTTTGAATTATGGTGCTGGAGGAGACTCTTGAGAGTCCCATGGACTGCAAAAAGATCAAACCTATCCATTCTTAAGGAAATCAGCCCTGAGTGCTCACTGGAAGGACAGATCCTGAAGCTGAGGCTCCAAGACTTTGGCTACCTCATGAGAAGAGAAGACTCCCTGGAAAAGACCTTGATGTTGGGAAAGATGGAGGGCACAAGGAGAAGGGGACGACAGAGGATGAGATCGTTGGATAGTGTTCTCGAAGCTACCAGCATGAGTTTGACCAAACTGTGGGAGGCAGTGGAAGACAGGAGTGCCTGGTGTGCTCTGGTCCATGGGGTCACGAAGAGTCGGACACGACTAAACAACAACAAAAGATCTTGCTTTGCCCCCCTTCTGCTCGTGTCAGGTTAGCTCTCCTAGAGTTGATTAACCCGTGTGACCAAATATAGCAGATTTTTAGTTGTGAAAATGGTATGGTATGGGATTTATGAATAGCACTGGAGGTAAGTATGGCAGTTTCAAATCATGATTATTCTTTATAGTGTGTGCACAACACCTTTCGGAGTTACACAGAAAACATAGATAGGTCCCTGCTTTCAAGGAGCTTGTAGATCTCAAATAAACAATGGGGAAATGACAGAGGGAAGAAGGGAAGAATGTGGGCAGATGCCATTATGTATACATCCTCTAATTTTCTTACCTATTTTCTTTTTCACTCTTTCTTCCTCTTCTTCTTTCTACCATGGCCACATTCTCCACCTCATTATTTTTTCGGGACTATTCTTTCTCCTGTCCCTCCTTTCCAGTCCACACCTCCCATGTAATGGTATTCTCAGGCCCACATCTTCATTCGTCCTTGACGCCTATTTCTCTACTGTTTTGCATAGGCTCTTTTTACCTGCTCATTTTACCTGCTCTTTTCTTCTCTAGGACCAGAGGTGCTCTATCAATAGGAGCCAGTGAACCTTCTTTCTCTACCACCCCTTCTTGGCATTAGAGTAGCTCAGCTGATCAGTGCCAGAGGCTTCATCACAAAATCCCTTTGTGCATTACAATATAGATTTTGCTGGTACAGCTAACTCCATTTTGGTCAGGGATGGGTGCTGCCAAAATAAATTACTAATGTTGCAAGCGATGATGTAATTTTTTGGAATGTTCTTCTTCTTCTATATTACTTGAAAAGAATAATTTTGAGAACTGAGCCTCTGCCAATGCCCTCAGTTCAAGTATTCCCCAACTCATTTGGATTCTCTCCTCATCTCCAGGCAGTGCTACTAATTGGTGAACAAGGGACCGCTAAGACTGTCATCATCAAAGGCTACATGTCAAAATATAATCCTGAAAGCCACATGGCCAAGAGTCTGAACTTTTCATCGGCAACAACTCCTTTAATGTTTCAGGTACTCCTTAGAATTATCTTTCTCTAAACTGAAAGTGAAGTGAGCCTTTTGGTTCACTTCACTGACTGTATACCAGAATGAGATTATTCAATTTTTTTTTATTAAATGTCAAAGGTCCATCTTTCCCATAGCCTGCTAATCTGGTTCCTGTGTCTTTGGTGGCCAAATGGCCCCTCTCTTGGGATGCCATCTCTTCCTTATTCATACCATTTAAAGATGCATAAGTGCATCCAATTCCTAATTCCTAAATCTCTTCCAGGTCTCCTGGTTGTTTCCATATTCCAGAACAGTTCCAGCACTATTTCTGCTTTGCCGACTTTTCTATGGAATGCAGATCAGCCAAATTTAAATCTCCTTAAGTTTTGCTTAACTTTCTTTTGGGGGGGAGAATAAATAGGATACAAAGGGACATGGGTGGCACTGTGGTGTAAACCACTGACCCTTGGGCTTGCCGATCGGAAGGTAGGTGGTTCAAATCCCTGCGTTGCTCTGTCCCAGCTCCTGCCAACCTAGCAGTTCGAAAGCATGTCAAAGTGCAAGTAGATAAATAGGTACTGCCCCGGCGGGAAGGTAAACACCGTTTCTGTGTGCTGCTCTGGTTTTACCAGGAGCAGCTTAATCATGCTGGCCACATGACCCGGAAAAACTGTCTGCAGACAAACGTCGGCTCCCTCAGCCAGTATAGTGAGATGCGCGCTGCAACCCCAGACTCTTTCGCGACTGGACTTAACTGTCAGGGGTCCTTTACCTTTACAAATAGGATACAAGCCATAAAAGTGTTGCAGGAACCATAACATTGAAACCGGGGAGGAAAATTATCAAGTGTGGATAAGCCCTGAGTTAAATGAGCTTTAGTCCCGGTAAGGTGTGTAAAGGATTGCAGTCTTCAGGTGCAATTCTGTACAGTGGTACCTCAGTTTACAAACTTAATCCGTTCTGGAGGTCCGTTCTTACATCGAAGCATTCTTAAACTGAGACACGTGCTTTCCCTAATGAGGTCTCCTCCTGATCGTCTTCCGTTCATCTTCCAGGGCAAAGTTCGCTAACCAGAACACCTACTTTTGGTTTTGCAGAGTTCACTGTCCGAAGCGTTCATTAACAGGACTGTTTGTAGACCTGTACAGTGGTACCTCTGGTTATGAACTCAATTCATTCCGGAGGTCCATTCTTAACCTGAAACTGTTCTTAAACTGAGGTACCACTTTAGCTAATGGGTCCTTCCGCTGCCGCCGCAACACGAAGTATTTGTAACCCGAGGTGTTTGCAACCCGAGGTACCACTGTATTTGAGTTATACCAGTTGAGGAGATACACCAGCAGGATGACCAAAATGGAGCAGAGTCGTGGCGAGATAGGGTTGGCATAGGGAGGAGCACACTTACATCATATCCAGTTCTCACCCAGACCATGGTCACTTCCCCACCCATGATGTACCATTGCATGGGCCCCTTTGGCTTTAGCAGCAGTGGGAGAAGGTAGATTTTCCACTAGTATAGCAGTAGCATTTCTCCCCCACCTCTCATGTAATTGGTGTATAGGTTTGCTTTTAATAGGAATATCTTTTGATAACTGAACTGACTATGAGAGTTCTAATCATGATGTATATAGAAGAAACTTCTCATTTAGGATTTTGCATGGTATACGATACTCAAATAAAGCACAGCTATTGGAAAACTGCAACGTGTTGTGTGTGCTATCTGCATTTGCCTTCACGTTCCTTCATAGTCTTTGTCCTAAGCAATAGCATGTAAAACACATGCCTGTCATTTTAAAGGCTTGGGGAGATGCTTAGATTTTTGCAAACATGCATGTTCTTCTTCCAGCGCACAATTGAAAGTTATGTGGACAAACGCATGGGCACAACTTATGGCCCTCCGGCAGGAAAGAAAATGACAGTCTTCATTGATGATGTGAATATGCCTGTAATCAACGAATGGGGAGACCAGGTCAGCTTAAATGAATAGGATATTTCTTTTACACAATTCAATGCATTGATCTGAATCAGTAGTCCGTATGAAGATGAGCATATTTTACCAATATTTTTTATTTATAATGGAAAATGTTCCGATGTTGCTTCAGAGCAATTCCTCTTAAGCTGACAGAGAACACTGCCTGATTTTATTTGGAATGACAAAAATCCTAGGTTAGTTTTAGTTATCCTACAAAGACCTAAAGGGGAAGGAATAATAGTGTTCTGACACAATCAAATATGCTCATGCTACGATTTCATTCTTATGTAAATACACCATAGTACTGCATGAGACAATATAGGAATAAAAATGTATGAGATGTGTCAATTTATTAAAGGAGCTCTGCAAATCTGAAAAATTGAAATGTTCACTTACAGTGTAATCCTAACCATGTCCGCTCAGAAGTAAGTCCTACTGAATTCAAAGGGTCAGTGGGAACAGGATTGCAGCCTGTTTATTTAATGCCAAATTTTTGACTGATTGGTTGCCTGAATTTATATCCCACC